CTTTTTAACAAATGGTGCTGGCAAAACTGGATACCCATCTGCAAAAAAAAAAGAAATAGGACTCATACCTTACACCATACATAAAAAGTAACTCGAAATGGATCAGAGACCAAATTATAAAACCCACAACTATAAAGATCATGAAAGAAAAAATAGGGACTACACTAACCAAAAAAACCAAACCCATTGCCATTGAGTTGATTCCTATTCACAGTGACCCTATTGGGCAGAGTAGAACTGCCCCATAGGGTTTTCAAGTAGCACCCTGGTGGATTCAAACTGCCAACCTTTTGGTTAGCAGAGGTAGATCTTAACCACAATGCCACCAGGGTTTCTAGGAACTACAACAGGGACCCTAATAGACAGCATAAGTAGGATACAAACTATAACTAACACACAAACACTAGAAGATAAGCTAGATAACTGCGATCTTCTAAAAATTAAACATTTAAGCTCATCAAAAGACTTCACCAAAAAAGTAAAAAGACAACCTATGGACTGGGAAAAAAATTCTTGCTATGACATATTGGACAAAGGTCTAATTTCTAAAATTTATAGGAAAATCCAATACCTGTACAACAAAAAGACGAATAATCCAATTAAAAAATGAGCAAAGGATATGAACAGACACTTCACCAAAGAAGACATTCAGGTGGCTAACAGACACATGAGGAAATGCTTGTGATCACTAGCCATTAGAGAAATGCAAATCAAAACTACAATGAGATACCATCTCACCCCAACAAGGCTAGCATTATTCAAAAAAATACAAAATAATAAATGTTGGAGAAGCTGAAGGGAGATTGGAATTCTTATGCACTGCTGGTGGTAATGCAAAATGGTACAACCATTTTGGAAAACAATATGGTGCTTTCTTAAAAAGCTAGAAATAGAAATACCGTATGATCCAGCAATCCCACTCCTAGGAATATATCCTAGAGAAATAAGAACAGTAGCATGGGTAGACATATGCACACCCATGTTCACTGAAGCATTATTCACAATAGCAAAAAGATAGAAACAACTTAAGTGCCCATCAACAGATGAATGGATAAACAAACTATGGTACGCACACACAATGGAATACTACGCAATGATAAAGAACAAAGATGAATCTGCGAAACATCTCACAACATGGATGAATCTGGAGGGCATTATGCTGAATGACATAAGTCAACCACAAAAGGACAAACATTGTATGAGACTACTATTATAAAAACTCATGAAAAGGTTTCCACACAGAAAGAAACAATTTTTTTCTTTTATTTTTTTATTGTACTTTAGATGAAGGTTTACAGAACAGTTTCTCATTAAACAGTACACATATTGTTCTATGACAATGGTTAACAACCCCACGACATGTCAACACTGTCCCTGCTCAACCTTGAGTTCCCTATTACCAGCTTTCCTGTCCCTCCTGCCTTCTAGTCTTTGTCTCTGGACTGTTGAGCCCCATTAGTCTCATTTTGTTTTATGGGGCTGTCTAATCTTTGGCTGAATGGTGAACCTCAGGAGTGACTTCATCACTGAGCTAAAAGGGCGTCTGGGGGCCATACTCTCGAGATTTCTCCATCTCTGTCAGGCCAGTAAGTCTGGTCTTTTTTTGTGAGTTAGAATTTCATTCTACATTTTTCTCCAGCTCTGTCCATGACCCTCTGTTGTGATTCCAGTCAGAGCAGTCATTGGTGGGAGCTGGGCACCATCTAGTTGTACTGGACTCAGTCTGGTGGAGGCCATGGTAGTTGTGGTCCATTAGTCCTTTGGACTAATCTTTCCCTTATATCTTGTTTTCTTCATTCTCCCTTGCTGCTGAAGAGGTGAGACCAGGGGAGTATCTTAGATGACTGCTCACAGGCTTTTAAGACCCCAGATGCTACTCACCAAGGTAGACTGTAGAACATTTTCAGAAAGAAACAATTTTTGATGGTTACTAGGGAGGGGAGGGGTGGAGAGGGTAAAACACTAACTAGACAATAGATAAGTGACAACATCTCACATACTTTGGACAAGTTATCAGGAGGAATCTGTCCCTGGAGAAGGATATCATGCTTGGTAAAGTAGAGGGTCATTGAAAAAGAGGAAGACCCTCAACAAGATGGATTGACACAGTGACTCCAACAATGGGCTTAAGCATAACAATGATTGTGAGGATGGCACAGGACCAGACAGTGTTTCTGTTGTACATAGGGTCGCTATGAGTTGGTACCAACTGGACGGCACCTAACAACAACAACATGTTATGCCAATTGAGCTAGATGTCCCCTGAGACCATGGTCCCCACCCTGCAGCCCAGTAACTCAGTCCCTCAGGAAGTTCCTCCAAGACAGATTTGTTCATTCCTTTGGCAATCCATGGTATATTCAACATTCTTTGCCAGCACCACAATTCAAAGGCATCAGTTCTTCTTCAGTCTTCCTTATTAATAGTTTATATATAAAAAAAAGTTCTATATCCTACTTTGGTGAGTAGTGTCTGGCATCTTAAAAGCTTAGAGTGGCCATCTAAGATGCGTCTACTGGTCTCACTCTGTCTAGATTAAGGAGAATGAAGAAAATCAAAGACACAAGGGAAAGATTATTCCAAAGGACTTATTGACCACAACTACCACAGCCTCCACCAGACTGAGTCCAGCACAACTAGATGGTGCCAAGCTACCACCACCGACTGCTCTGACAGGGATCATAATAGAGGGTCCCAGACAGAGATGGAGAAAAAGGTAAAACAAAATTCAAACTCACAAAAAAACAAAACAAAACAAAAAAAAACCAGACTTACTGGTCTGACAGAGACTGGAGAAACCCTGAGAGCATGGTGCCTGGACACCCTTTTAACTCAGTACCAAAGTCACTCCTGAAGTTCACCCTTCAGCCAAAGATTAGACAAGCCTATAAAACAAACAATAACACATTTACTTCAACCATGTATATGGGACTAAATGAGCTGACCAGCCCAAAAGCGAAGGCAAGATGGGACAGGAAAGTTGGATGAATGGAAATGGAGAACCTGAGGTCTAGAAGAAGAGAGTGTTGACACATCACAGGGTTGACAACCAATGTCACAAAACAATATGTGTATTAATTGTTTAATGAGACATTTATTTGCTCTGGCTGAAAGCACAATTAAAAAAAAAAAAAGTATTTTCAAAGGCCCAAAGAAAATTAACTGACAACGTAGAGTTCTATACTTTGCTAAACTATTATTAAAGAATTAGGGCAAAATAAAGACGTACAGAATAATACTCAAGACCTTTGTTCAAAGGACTCCTAAGGATACAGTTTAGAAAGAAGGAAATTGAATGTAGAAGTAAGAAATATGATACGAAAAACGATGAGCAAAGAAATTGGTAAATATGAAGGTAAATCTAAGAAAGCATTGACTTTAAAAATAAGTGCTAATAATAATGATTAATTTGCAGAGGTGTAAAACTAGGTAGAACTAACCAGCACTGACTGCCTTGTGTTCTCATTGGTGTAGCTTCCTCTCTATCTGTAAGCCCTCCACGCCTTTCTCTCTCTCTCTCTCTTTTTAACCGCATACTTAGGTCCCTCTTTCACGACCTGAAAATTTGAAACCATTAATGCTTTTCCACCTCCAGCTTTAAGCTGGGATATTCAACCCAGCGTCTAGGCAGCCCATGAAGTGCTTTGCTAGAAAGCCAGGGAGACAGACTGGGGGCAGGTGTCTGGGAGTGAGAATTTTCTGGAGCCCCAGAAAGCTCTGAGCCTGACGTTTTTCTTTCTTTCTTTTTTTTTTAAAGTCTGTGGGACCCACGGCAAGGAGCCGTGGGCAAGAGGCTAGAGGAGACGGGTGTGGCAGTTCCTGACTCCTACTTTTCTCATTCTTCCTCCGCTTTGTCCCGGGCTGAAATGTGGGGCCCAAAGACCGCGCTCTGGAAACTGGCCCTGACCTTCCAAAGCCAGCCCTGGCGTTCATAATAACAATCCTCTCTTTTCAGGAGAAATCAGCGGGCTCTTAGAGCTGTGGGTGGTGCTATCTTAACAGAGAAACCAGTCTGGGTCAGCAAGATATTTCTGTCAACTGTGCTGTGGGAACCGGTCTGTTTGGTTTCAGCTAAAGGGATTTTCCAACAAAGACGTTTGTTTGGCTCGGAATGCAAACAGTGCAACCGGTCTGTTGGAGTGCAGCTGTCCCGCCTCCCATAGCCTGCTTCCTCATTGGCCAACCTGCTGGCCTATCCACTGTGAGCTGCTCGGGAGCCATACTGAAGTGGAGGCAAGTAAGCAGGAAGACTGAGTGTAGCTGGGACATTTGCAGAGACTCCTGCACCCTTCGGTGAGGCGGACACATGGGTGGGCAGAGCCACCTCCTGTGGCTTACTTAGAAGTAGCCTGCTGTTTGCTTCAAGAGGGGACAAGAGCAACAGGCCCATATTACCTCTCTCCCTGTCAGATTGGTGCCTCTGCAGCTGGCCAAGGAAACTCTTCACCAGACAGCCATTCTTGCTCAGTCCTGAGAAAGTCTGGGATCTCTGGGTGGTCAGCCTGCGTGGACAGAAGCCAGGAGACAACTCTCGTTCTATCCCTCCCTGCCACAGGCTCTATCTTGAGCAAACCAGTGGCAGACCACAAGGACCTAGGACATTAGAAAGCTGTACTATTTTGGAGCGTCCACAGTAACATCTGTTGTACCAGGAGCATCCCTATCGATCTCCAGCTGCTAAAGAAGCAATAAAAGCAGTAGGCACAGCAAATTCTGCAGCAGTAGGGGGCTTCTCTGGGTGTTCTTTTTCGATAACATTGTCCCTCCTCTATTGCCACCAACCTCCAACCAAAAACTCTCTGAAATAGAGGCAGAAATAGAAGACAGGGCTTTACATATTAAGCCTGGCCTAGTGGTAGTCTACCCTGCCCCTCCCATCATCCATTAAGGGTTGTAAAGAAAGAAAAAAAGAATCCTCCAGTCTTATTGCCCCACAGCCTCCCAACTGCTCCAATAGGAAGACTATGTGCCAGGAAGGGACCAGTCCAGGACTTCCAACAATGGCCTCAGCTCTCACGCCCCCAGGCCGGGTGCCAGCAGGATCCCAGGCACCACAGCAAGATCCAGCTGGCGTGCACTGGGCCCCAGCAGAGATCCGGCATCTGCTCGCCATCATGGAGGAGCCCGCTATCAAGAGGCGCCTGAAAACGGTTCGTCGCAACACTTCAGTCTATGAGGATGTGGCAAGGCGTCTTCAAGAGCATGGGTATGTCCGGCATCCACACCAGTGCCGTACCAAGTTCAAGGCCCTCAAAGTGGCCTACAAGAAAGCCCACATGGCTGTCCTACACTCTGGGGCAGCTCCTCAGGGCTGCCCCTTTTATGAAGAGATGGGTCGGGTGCTACAGACCAAGGGTAGCACCAGCCCAGACAACTTCAGGGAGCAGACCCAGCCAGGGGATCTTGACCACCACAACTGGCCAACCCAAAGAAGGGAGCTGGAAGATAGGCCAGAAGGACACTCTCTACAGCAGCTGCAGCAGGACGGGTCAGAACTAGAGATGGAGATGGAGACAGAGCATCAGTTTAAGCTGGAAGTGGAAGTGTTAGAGCTGCCCAGTGACCTCAGTCCTGAAAGTCTGACTGGTACTCAGGCCGAAAAGACAACTGAGACCGAGATTAGCCCTGCTGCCCAAGGTACTGGAGCAGGTAAGTGGCCAACTATGTTCTACCAAAGCCCTGATGCTATGGGGTTGGGTGGGGTGGGAAGTCATAAACGATAAAACCAAGGTGGGGGATCCATTCCCTCAAAGGAACTGGAGCTCTGGAAAGTTTAAAAAAGCCTAATTTCACTACAGGTGTTGGAGTCAGCATATTAAAGCAGGAAGGGACAATGGAGACCATATCCAACCCTTGCATCTTACAGACGAGGAAACTAAGCCAGAGAAAAGTACTTGGCACAAGGTGACACTGCCAGTCAACGCTAAGGCTGAAACAAGCCTCCAAGCCTAGTGATCTTTCCACTGGCTTCTAAATGATTCTTGCTTTAAATGTAGTTTATAATTGGTCATCATGGCAATCTTTTCCAATCTTAAAACTAGGGCCTGGAAAGAGTGGGATGAGGAGAGCAGCTAAGATTTCTCTCTTTCCTCCAACAGAAGTCCAGAGGAGGCCAGAGTCTCTAGACAGAAACCAGCCTCAGAAAGAGACCCCGTCATCAGCCCCAAGAGTTCTAGGTGTGTCTACAGTGCCCCCTAGAGCACGGGTGGGCCGAGTACGCCGACCCCAGCCCAGAGCCCGAAACCGGAGGTGCTACCAGCCAGCTACTGCCATGATTGCCTCTGAGATGGCAGAGAACCGGCGCCTGGCCAGTGAACTGGCCCGGGAATCAGCTGCCCAGCTGCAGCGCTTCCTAGACCAGCACAATGCCCACATGGCAGCCCTGGTCCAGGTGGCCCGAGACAGTTACGCCCAACGCCAGGAAGTGGTGGCTATTCTTCAGGACGTTGCTGATGATATCCATGAGGGGGTGGCCCTCCTAAGGTCATCTGTAGGCCGCTTGAGCCAGGAATGAGACCTACAGACCACAGCCTCTGCCATACCTACTCTCCCAGGACTCTGGGGAGACTTCTCCATTGAAACTTGAATTCTCATTGCTCTTTTCCCTTCCTTTTTCTGTTAGGAAATTTTTGAAAAATAAATGGAGGAGAAAGGTAGACAACATGGTGAATAAAAGGCTTCCCTTGGAATTTTAATAAAAAAGATCTTGATATGAAAGTAACAGCTAATGTTTGGGATTTTTTCTTTGTGTTTCATTTTGTCTCAACCTAGAAGCAAAGGATTGACAGATCTCTGGTTTGAGGCCTCTAATAATTGTAACTAGGCTTTAGCCAGGAGAAGCCATGGTGAAGAAGCCTGAGTTTGCCTTTTGGTTATCCCAAGTCCCGTCGGTTATCATTTATCCATTCAAGAAACATTTGAGGATCTACTATGTGCCCAGGCATTATATATTAGGTGCAGAGTATTCATTAGTGATGAAAATACACATCATCACTGCCCTCTTGGAGATTCTACTTTAGTGAGGAAGATAGTCATTGAATAAACCTGCAAATCAGTGATTAGCACTCTAAAGAAAATGAACAGGAAGAGTAATAGTGTGAGAGTAGGCATTAGATCTACTCGATGTGATTCCAGAAAGCCTCCCTGATTGTGGCCCAAATTAGGGACACTGAGGACCTTCCAAAGGTATCTGTAGGCTTCTCAGAGAACGTCATGTTCCCTGACCCCTTGTTCAGATGTATAGTGGCCCTAGAAATGAGGCTACTCTTACAGTGGATAAGGGACCGACTCAGTCACAACCCCTGCTGTGGGCACTGCAGTGATAATGCCAACAGGTGTAGTGAATCTCCTTCTACCAGCAAAAACACCCCAAAGATGGAACAATCAATCATTAGTTCCTTGAACTCCATGGGGGCAGGCCCTCCACCACCATTGCCACCTCCTCTTCTTCCCTGGACTCCCTGAAGTACAGATTAGGCTAAGGGTGACAGTTGCCTGTGCCTAGTCTGGAGCATCCTTTTATATTGTGGGGAGCATTTTGTATATGAATTGTTTTAGTCTTTGTAAGAGTGGATACTGCCTATTTTAGGCCTTAGGGTTTCAAAGCATCCTTGGTATCTCATTTAGGGTCATACTGAAAAGAGAATAAGAGCTACACACGCATAACTCACAAATGCTCACTTTCAACTAATCCTTAACCAGTTGCCATTGAGTTGATTTTGACTCACGGTCACCCTATGTGTATTGGAGCAGAACTATGCTCCATAGGGTTTTCAATGGCTGATTTTTTGGAAGTAGATTGCCAAGCCTTTCTTCTGAGGTGCCTCTGGGTGGACTCAAACCTCCAACCTTTCGGTTAGCAGCTGAGCATGTTAACCATTTGTAACACCCAGGGACTCCCAACTAATCCCTAAAACCCATTGCCATAGAGTCGATTCCAACTCATAGAGACCCTACAGGACAGAGTAGAACTGCCCCATAGAGTTTCCAAGGAGGAGCTGGTAGATTCAAACTGCTGACCTTTTGGTTAGCAGCCCAAAGCTTAACCACTGTGCCACCAGGGCTCCAACTAATCCTTAGGGGTAAGTATTGTAGGTAGATGTTTTCAAACTCTCTGAAAGGACATGTCCTTCTTCATGGAGGAAAGAAGGTTGCCTTTGATATTCTCTCTCCAAATGACAGTGAAGCCATTCTTGAGGCTTCTCTCCTTCTGTACCCTTGACTTTCTCAACTTCTGCTCAACCACTCAACTCCTCCTTTAGCCTCAGCCTTGCAGTGGCCATGACCCAGACCTTTGCCTTCCAGTGGTTCCAGAGAGTTAAGAATGGCAGCGGACTGAAGAAACAGGTCCCTTCTCTTTCCGTTTCCACTGCCACACAGCTGACAAGCCTCTACCCAGGAAGTGAGCTGATTCTCATCACCACTCAAACTTGTCTGAGGTCTCAGAGTTTACTGCTAGGTCTACAATAAGCAAGTACAATGATAACATTTTCACACTAGAAATCATGCAATATTAGAGCTGGAAGCAGCATAGGTGATTATAGTTGGGCTCTCTTACAGAGGAAGAAGTTGAGGCCAAGAGAAGTTTCTTGGGCTTGGAGTCCTAGGCAATGAACCCCCAGTCCAGAGCTTGTCCATTTAGGGTTCACACAAAGTCTCCTTAATCTCAACAGACCCGCAACCACTATCTTCACAGCACAGTTATTTCTTGGCATTGTTGAGACAAGTGGAAGCTGGGTCTAGGTATGAGTTTACTCTTCTGATCTATGGTTTGAGTGCCACCCCCTCTCTAATGGTTACTGGCAGCTAATTCCAGCTGCTTAGGATTCTCCAGAGGGGCTTTAAGACCAGCCCTAGTGTCACCTCAGGCCTGAAACAGCTAAGGACAAGGCTTAATCCTCTTTCTTCTCACTCCCACATTGTTCTTGTTGTTGTTCGCCTGTCTTAGCTCAACAGTATCTCCTAACCAAAATACTTTCCTGTATCATCAAAATGCATTTAAAAATTACCCATTTCCCCAAGATGACCAGTAAATTTTATAGTAGGTAAACAGGGACATATAGACTAACCAAAACTTTTTTTTTTTTAATTACACTTTTTAAACTAGTAGAGCTTTCTAATTGTGGCATATTCGTTCACCCTAAAACCCCCTTCCTCCTATTCCCGTCCCCGTGTATTTTTTCACTTCCAGGAAACTATGCTATCGAAGAAAAGAAAACTGGAAAAGAGAGGAGCACAGGGTAAAAACGGGCAAAATAATAACTGGGTTTAGGGGTTATCTCCCTACGTTTCTAAAGACGGAGAAGCGGAGGCTCCTCCTCCAGCTCTGCAGCAATCCAGTCCACTATTTGCCTCTCACTTCTAAGCATCAGGTCTGCAAGCTCCGGATCTCTGGGAAGGCTGCCTAGAACAGAATCAGCCCAGGCGGGAGGGATGACGGCGATGAGAGTGGGCCCAGGAGGAGGACTAAGGAGGGCAAGGAATGATCCTCCTTGCAGAAAAGCAGGAGAGAAAGGGCAGGACAGCCGCAGAAACTACATCTGCCAGGAGTCCCTCGTCTAACACAACTGAGGGGACTGACAGCTCCATTATCCAATAGGCTACTGGGCTATGGTTGTGATGGCCAATCACAACTAGAAAGGGTGGGTGCTTCACAACGCCGAATTTTTCTGGGTACTTTTCTGATTGCGTACCGCCCACTCTTGCACACTCGCGCGCGCGCGCACACACACAGGCACTAGTACAGTTCAGTCTCCAGCTTTCATATATTCCCCCACTGACCTAACAGCGGATTCTTCTGCCCCCAACCTCCTGCAATTCTGTGTCCACTTCAGCCCCCTTTACTGCTCAGCGTCATCTTTCAAAAAGGCCAAACAAATCGTTTCACTCTTTGCTTAAATTCCATCAGTGACTCCTTTTGGCTGTTAAGGAAAAAGTTCATCCTCCTTAGCCTGGTCCCCGCCTGCCTCTGCAGCCCCCCTCTTTTCCTCACCCTGGCCTCCAACTTGCAGAACTACCTGCAGTTCTCCCAAAGCACCACACTGCTTTCACCCTACTTCCTGGAGCTCCTTTCAACTTGCTTGTCCTTTAAGAGACCTCGAGAGTAACCTCTATTGGGTCTACTTGACCCTCCAACACTCAATTCAGTGTCCTTCTAGGTGGCCACAATACCTAGCTCTTACCTCGGTCACAACAGCTCTCTTACTGGTTTTAGTTATCAGTTTATTCAGCTTCCCCTCTCTCCCCCGCAACTGAAATTGCTGAAGGCAAGGACTGTTACCCTTTTCACCTTTGGACATCTGGTGCCTAGCACATCGCAGGCACACATAAAGTTTTGGTGAATGAATAGTCTCAATAGTATATGCAGTGCCCAGGAAGGAGAGGCTGGGAGATGACTTCATGCCTTGAAAGACTCCTGGGCAGCTTCAGCATACCTATGTCCTCTCCCTTTATTTTAGCTTGGGAATGTGGAATCAGAATGTCAGAGCTGGAAGGGATCTGAGAGCTCAAAGGAAGCAGCATGGGGTAGAAGACGTGACCATGGAAGTAGTGGTCAGAGAGGAGAGAAGAAGCTCTGCTGCTGGCTTTCAGATGGAGGAAGGGGCCACAAGCCAAGGAATGCAGGTGACCTCTAAAAGCTGGAAAAGTCAAGGAACAAATTCTCCCCTAGAGCCTTCATAAGAAACACAGTCTGCCTACACCTTGACTTTAGCCCAATGAGACGATTTTGGACTTTTGACCTCCAGAACTGGAAGTAATAAATTTGCGTTGTTTTAAGCCACTAAGTTTGTGGTAATTTGTTAGAGCAGCAATAGGAAATAATACAGATGATTATTATTGCTATTATTATTTGAACAGGGTTGGTTCTGAGAACGGCAAGCATGTGTGTACAAGTGTAAACGTCTACATATCTGTAAATGTCTATGCTTTTATGGGTGATAAAAGCGGAGCTCAGAAAATCTAGGGTGGGTCCAACATATGAGTAGAACTGATACCACCAGTCTGGCAATAAAGCAGCCAAGCCCCCTGGAGAGAACAGATAATTTGTTCCCCTTTTGCTGGATGACCAGTCTGCCCTTTCCGGGCACTATATAAGAAGATAGAGCACCCTTGGAATCCCTGCGTGGTGCAAATGGTTAACATGCTTGTCTGCTGATCCAAAGGTTTGAAGTTTGAGTCTACCCAGAGGCTCCTCGGAAGAAAGTCCTGGCAATCAACTTCCAAAAAATCAGCCATTGAAAACCCTATGGAGCACAGTTCTACTCTGATACATGTGGGGTCGCCATGAACTGAAGTCAACTCGACAGCAAATTTTTTTTTTTAATAGCACCCTTGGAGTATTACAAATATTAATATCAATGCTTTATTAGCAGGAAGGGAGAGGCGAAGGTTAACATGGGAAGAAGAGGGCCTAAAGAAGAAATTCAGGAGAAAAATCAGGAAGGATAGTCAGTGGGCCTGCTGGGCCTGGAATGTCAAATCCCCAATGGTAGTGGGTGCACCTGGAACCCCAGT